AGTGGGTTACCAACTGGATCGCTGTGCTCCAAAACTGGTTTTGTGACTCAGCGAGTATATATGCCTTGAATGACAAAGAACCTGGGTCCCTGACACACCACTATTTTTCATTTGCATTTCTGACTAAAATTTTTTACTTATCTCTATATCTTTTAAGAAGCACTTCTGCTTTTTCCTTTCTATTTCCTTGCTCACCACTAACAATAATATTGAGGCATCTAATGTATTGATTTACCTTCTTTTTGAATGGTTCAAGGTCGCATACTTCTATAACTCTATAATGTCCCATTTTGAAGGCTTTTGTTCAAAATAATCAAAACATTTAATCTTTTTTCTAGACATTCTATTTTTGAAAGAAATTCCAGCAATTGGATTGGCAAGGATTTATGAGTGTTGTTTGCGAAACATTATGGAAGTGAAGCAAGAACTTACTTTTTGTCTACTGCCTATTATTGATAAAATTACAAATTGTATTTATTAATATTAATAATATAATCTGAACGTGGGGACTTTAAGTGATACTTGCGCTTATGAAAAAAAAAAATTTTTTCAAAACAAAATTCTGATTATAGCAATTGAAATAAATTCTTTTGAATATATATTTTAAGAATCCACTGGGATCCACACAACTTTATACACTAGATTTTTTACATATAGGGAACTATTGGTCTAAAAACCCGTTTATTTATTTTTTTTGTTTGATTCTATAATTACAAGTTAGTAATTGTAAACACTAGACCACTAGCTAATACTCTACCATGTTTGCATTTAAGATCTTGCAAATAAATATCCAAAAAAATGATGGATACTAAACAAACGATTTCTGGAATTCATAAATATTTGTTTAAATTTGTACTTGCTTAGTATTAAACAATATTAATATCATAAAAAAGGAAAATCCTGAGAGTAAATAACAGTGAATATATTATAAAATAGATAGAAAGACAAGAATACCTTCATAATAATAACAATATTTGCCCATTTGTGAAAGATGAATTTAAAAGATATTACTTGTCCCAAGCCAGCACAAAATGTAATTGAATAATTTTATACTAAATGAAAACGTGTTAGATGACACAATTAACACTTATGTTTTTCTTAATCTTCACCATTTTAATAACTAAAATAACTAGGAGACATAACAGTTTGGTTTTGTCATTCAATATTACTTATTTATGCAAAAAGAAAATTATTTGATATGTAACTATTAAAATACTCTTGTCATCTTAAATCAACTTGCTCTTTGCAAATAGCCTTGGCTTGAAGAAAAAAGACAGATCGGACAATTCCATGAACTACGACATGTTTGCAAAATGCATTTATATCATAATTTATGTTATCTTTTATTTTAATTCTCAATTATTACTATTATAATTTCTCCTTTACCCACATACAGTATGTTAAGAAAAAAACGGCAGTAACAAAAAATTGCATATCTCAACAATTACATAACATAATTAGATAAATTTAGATTTATCAACTACTTTGTTAAATAAAAAAAATAAACATGGAATGCTATTGCCAATTTTCTGTAAAGCTAATTTGTATCTTTTTTTTTAAAATTTTGTTAAATTTTTGTCTGAAATTTTGACATGCTAAAATTTTAACATAATAGTTCTGACACAAAAATATACATAATAATCGTACAAAATTATACCAATTTGTAGTGAAAATCCTGGAGATTATGTATATATAACTTCATACTTCCAGATTTCCTAGAACTTTATTGATTATTTTGAAAAAAAAAGTCAAATGCGTAAATTTCTTTAATAATTGCTCGTTTTTTGTTTTTATTCTTGATAATCTAATCCTCAATTTTCTTTTGTGCTTTTTCTTGATGATTGAAAAACGAAGTATCCAAGAATTTCTTGTGATTGCAACTTTAACTGTCAAACATTTAAGATAATTGTTTTCCTTTCTGATTGTCTTCCTATCATCTTACATCTAAAATCATTAAAATTATCACCCAAATACCGCTACAGATTACTGCAATTCTTCTTGCAATACCCCATGAATCTAAACTGCTGGATCCAAATAACCACGCAAGAATGGCTCCCATGATACCTATTGGTTGCAAAAAAAAAAAAAAAATAGGGTCAATTTCTAACTTGTTAAGCAATGCAAATTAAATATATTAATCAAAGGCACCACCAGCTGATGCAATGGTACTTGGAATATCAGTTGTGCTATATTACGGTTCATAAATAAGATAAATAAATTGTATTCATAGTGATGTTTCTAATAACACTCCCCGTTTAAAATGTTACCACGTTTCAAATTTTTCTTCCTGTACAAAATCCCCAGCAACAATGAGAAATAATGATTGGTTTCATCTGGTATAGATGGTTGATTCTGATTATAGAGAAAATTATTGATTATACAATCGATTCTCTGAGCAGTTACATAGTTGGGCTCGAATCCGATAATGGCAGGAACATCTTGAGGCAGTATACTTTTATATATACTGGTTTTGGGCTTGATTTAAAATGATGTTGGTTTCCAAAACCATAGAGCTTTGGAACTGTGTGAAAGTCAAAAGGTTTCTTCATAAGTCGAAAGTGGTCTTGACTTTTGACTTTTGATGACTTTTAATTTTAGTTTGACTTTTGTCTCTACAAAATAGTTTTGGTGACCAATAACTTTACCCAATCCAGCATGACTATTTAAAAGATTAGCAATTTTATTCATTCTTCGGATAATTATATTTGAACTAGTGCGTAAAAAGAGTATAAATTGCCATTTTTTTTTAAAAAGAACTGGTATGTTGATTTATTAAAAAATGGAGTATAATAATAATCAAATCTTGCATGAGAAATTGTCAGAAACCATGTAAAAAAGAGCAACTATCTATATGAATATAGATAACCTTACTAAAAAAAGGTATGCCAGTTCGAATATAATTATACTATCTATATTGCAATTTACTGACTAGGCGAAAAAACCCTTAAAGCTAAGCCAACTTTTCCTTTTTCGGCATCCGCTGCATTCATGTTGTAATAAAATTTCAACTTGTTCAAGCCATCAGAGTTTTCAAACGTGTACTCTATAGTTTTGCCGAATTCTTCTCCTCAAAAAAAGTAGTCAGCTCATGAACATAACCAAATATTTATCAGTGCCATTGTTTAAATTAGACAAGAAGAGAAAGTTTAGTGTGTATACAAATTATGGACTACCAGTATATCAAAATAAAGATAATATATTTCCTTTATAAAGCTACCAAAAGTCGTATATACAAATTCCGATCATTTTTCATTGTCTAAAATTTTACAAATAGGCGAAGAAAAAATATATTTGTTAATGCAAATTTGCTTTATTGAAAACTTTTCAATAAAATGTTCTCTTAGTTCAAATATTCATTCCAAAAACACTTCCAGATACAAAAAAAACCATATTCTAAATGGTTTGATTATTAATAAATGAATGATTGTATATATAAATATACATATTAAGTGTATAAAGAAATTTTTCAAAATAAATTTTTTTTTTTATCTTTACCAAAACTTATAATAAATTTCATACTTGTATTCTTTTCAATTCAGTATCAAGTTAACATGCTTTAGTGATAGTTATCTAAATAACAATATATTTATTATTGGAGCATGCTGTAACAAAACCAAAGTGAACAAAGAAACTACAGGGGGAAATAGATAATAATAATAAACGGCATTTATTTGTCACTGTTAACTGATTAACGTTATTATTATAAGCACGTTAAGAATCCTTTTAATAATAATAATAATATTTACTATTTTAAACGGATTAACCCATTACAAATCTGGATGAAAAAATACTCAATATTAATGTTAATGTTAATAATTATTATTAATGGATTACGAATTATAATAACAACACTAAATCCTATTACTATTACTATAATAATAAAATAATAACAAGCTAGCCGTAATCCGTTAATAACTCGTAATAGTAATAATAATACATATGTAAACTTGATAAGTCGGTCATGTCAGGGCGGACCCCTGCGACCGACTTATCGAATTTCACGTGATTTTTTAATTTATTAAAATAAAAAATGTTAACATTGAAAATATATAATAATAA